GTAAGAGGAAGGGAGAAGGGAAAGGGAAGGAGGGAAAAGATGGGGAGGGGAAGGGAAAGGGAAACGGAGGAGTGATTGTCACAAAGTGTGCAGTGAGCTCTTTCCTGAACAAATCTCCCAGCCAGCCATCGGGAGAAACAGGGGCCCTACCCAGACTCCTTTTCAGCTTTGGAAACAACCTCAGGGAAAAGCAATAACTCAGCAGGAGTTATACACAGTCCCTGCTCCACCTGCCCAGGGAAGCTGCACCTTCCACTTGAAAAGGCAGAATCTGGGAAGGCAGGACCCGGGAAGGCAGGCTCCCCTCCCCGGCTCTGGACCATCACCTGCCGGCATGCAACAACGTTCCGGTCGGCCTCAGTCACCACCCCCTCTTTGGTCTAGCTCCTACTTTCTTTGGTGCTGTTTCCATATTTTATTCACTAAGAAACCAAGCAGTGCTACAGTGGGTCTAACACCTCAAAACTGAATGCTTTTAACTCCTTGACAAACAAATACACCTTTCTCTCTCCTCCATCAACTCATCACCCAAACCACCCTCACTCAGAGCTCCTCCAACTCCACTCAAGCCTTCTTCCCAACTTGCTCTTTACTTTTCTGAAATGTCAAGCTCCTCCAAAGTCCCTCCCAAATTCCTCAGAGTTCCCAGCTTCCTGTGCCTTTCATTCACATGGATGTTCCCTCTGATATTGAAAAAAAAAAAAAAAAAAAAAGACAGGTAGTTTCAACATAGGACAAGTATTCAGATAAGATTCCTTGTTAAGCTTTTTAAAAATCATTTGCACATCCTTAAGCTTAACATCATCATCAAATAATTAAAATAACAAAGAAGACGAGAAAACAAAACCCAGAGTCCATGCTTCCGAGCATCACGTGGCCCAGCTCGCGGGAGGGACACGCAGCTGTAACAGACAAGCTCGCGGGATCCCGGACAGAGGTCGCCAGGCGCAGGGGCTGCGGCCCGGGTTTGGAGAGCTAGCTCTAGAGATAAAAGGGGGAAGACCCTCGCATCACGGGGCCAGGAAACAGCCCTCCGAGAAGAGACTCGCTGCTGGTTTGTCCGCAGTCCCTGCGCGCCCTGAGCCTCCGGGAGCCGGCCTTTAACCGGGTTTCCACACCTCGCTGAGGGCCGCCTCCAGCTTCTGTCTGTAGGCCGTGTAGCGCCTCTTCAGGTTATACAGCTGCTCATCCTCTTCCTTGTCCAAAATACGCAAGAAATTCTGCAGTTCTGGAAGGCTGAAGGCTTCCCACTGTGAGAGAAGGCAAAAACGAAAAATGCCAGGTGTTTCTTCTGTCAGAACTAAGGATGCCGTCCATGAGCGCCCCAAGGTGTGGCGGGCCTCCCGCCTGGCCTGGGCACTCACAGCCCGTGCCTCCAGTGCCTCGGTTTCCAAGAGCCTCACTCGTGACCAGCCCTACCACGCCCACCCCACCCTGGCTGCTCCGATGGCCCACATGGTCTCCCTAAGGCCGGGACCTGCACGGCCCCACATCCATTAGACACGTTCCCTCCTGGCCTGACCCCCGGAGCATTAGCAACAACTCCACACTCCCTCCATCCTGCCCTCTCCTTGGAGCCATCGCTGCCACTGTCTTCTTTCTCTCCCCCCACCGTCAATGCGATCACTTCCCAAACAGTCCTCCCATCTGCGCGCTTTCTCCATCTCAACCGCCCCTTGTGCTGGCCACCGTCATCTCCTTCCCTGGCCTCCTCACTCTACTCCACGCTCCCCAACCTGCTCCCAAATAGCCAGCCTGAACACAGAGGTCCCGCCCCTATCCGCGATGCCTGTCCATGGCTTCAGTTACCCCCGTCAACCATGGTCCACAAACATTCAATGGAAATCATTCTCTCCTGGGAATCACTCAGTGGCTTCCCTCGGTTGCTTCCGCTCAGTGTGAAAGACCCTAACCTCTCTCACACTGTCCCCCTCACTTACTACCCCAAGTGGCTTGGCACATGTTTTCCCTTCCTCCACTTTGCCTGGCGAACTCCTACTCAACCATCGAGTCTTGGCTTAAATGCCACTTTCTCTAAGAAGCCTTCCATGATTTCCTCCCTCCCTTTCCACCCAGGACTAAGTCTATTAGAAAGCTCTCACTGAGCACTGGTAACCCTGATCAAAAAAGATATAACAATTATTATAATCATTTGCTGAGTATTCCTCTCACCTACACCAAGCTGTCATGCTTCTCACTATTTGGGCTTTGTCTCTTGCCCTCGAGGCTCTGAGTTCTGCTTCCCTAAAAGCACTGGGTACTTAGAAGGCACAAAATAAGTGTTTGTGGGGCTGTTTGTTATTTTTTCAGTAGAACAGTAAATATCAAGACGGGTATCTGGCATCACCTGGGAGGACTTTTCAAACCGGACATCCTCCCCTCCCAAAAGGGGGCCTGGGTCCTGGCTGCGATCTCTACCACAGCCAGGAACAACTCCGATGAGAATTCCCAGGGGTGTGGGGCAGGGAAAAGCCTGGAGAGAATCCAATACGGTGAACAGAGGGGGACAGAGTGAAACCACCCAGTGGCTCCATGACAGAAGGTCCCAGAGATGGAGATCATTATTAAAGAAAATGAGAAACATGGAACAGGAGAGTAAAACTTTCTACGCTGGAATATTCTATTAAGTTGTAAAAATTAACATTTTACTTTTCCTGCATGCTCTCCAAAATAAAATAAGCTCCTCCCTCTTCCTGACAGCTATAGATTTCTTCCCTCAGTTTAGCTAACCTTAAAACACTGAGAAATAAGAACACCATTCAGAAGTCTAATAAAGCAATTCAGAGCGTTAAAACACAATGTAAATTTCAAAACCATAACTCCCTCCCCGCCAATAAATGTGGCTCTAATTGCACTACTATGTGCATGTCAAGGCCAATAGCCAGGAAAACAAGAGACTAGCAAGACCAGGCTGACATGTCCGCTTACAGAGGACACGCTGTCACGTGTCAAACCAAAGCTACACCCAGTTTTCTCCCCAAAATGACAGCGAAGTTTAAAACTTCAGAACATCAGAATCAAAAGAAACTTCAAAAGTGCAAAATAAAGTTCCAATTCACATGGACATAAACATACTATTTACAAAGCATATTTACATACGTTTCTAATTCGCAACTTAAAACCACCTTTTAAAGTACTTAGTCCCACTTCTCAGATGTTAAAACTGAGAACTGAAAAGACCAGACTTATCCAAGGTCGTGCTCCTAATCTAACAGAGGTGGAGTCCTGGTTCCCTAACTTTTTAACCCAGAAACCCCATTCTCACTGTATCACTAATTGGACAGGTCATACCATTTCCTGTTGCAGACAAAAGACTGGGACCCAGAGCCTGAGAGACTTGCTCAAGTGTCCTTTTAAAGGTGACACTTGATCTAGAAGGACAGTCCAAAGTGCTTTCTCCTTCAACTGGCCTAAATACAATCCTCCCTGGAGAGAAAATGGCAAATGATGGTACATACATAAACATAATTTCTTCATCATCTGGGCCAAGGGTTAAAAAAGATTCTACAAAGTTAAATGTCTTTCCTGGTAAAAAGATTGAATTCCCTTTGGAGTGAATTAGCCTGGAGACTTTGTTAGTAGCGAACATATGGAGAGTGTCAACTTTCAAAGTTGAGCTGGATTAGAGGAATTCAGAGGTGGAGGGGGCGAGAATGCCTCTTCGGGTGGGGATCAAGTTAAAACTTTATTTCCTCCACCTCTGAAAACTACAGGCCAATATAACGAGTGTTGTAAAGAAGTATAGTGTAGACTAACTTTGGGTTCATTTCTAACACAGGAAGCTGCCCTCCGCAGAACACCCCTCCCTCTTCCAATGGTAAACCCACTAGACTGGAGCAATAAAACAGAACCAGCTGGTGTGTACAGTTTAAAGCAGTCATGTACTTACCTCTCCAATTTCATGTTCACGGAGAACAAAACTAAGTGTGTCTGTTCTGGGCCCTGCTGCCAAGCGCAGGTACAGTGGATGCTCCCGGTCTGAGAGCTTGCAGGCGTAGACTGGGTGAGGAAACAGGAGCAAGTCACGGTGGAGCACTGCATCATCCCCTGGGCCACACACCCCTTCCCACCCCTCCCCCAGGTCAGGCAACAGCCCCAAGTCACATCCTCCTCATCTTATTACCAACAGCCCACAGTGGGGTGAAAGCTATACTATTTTCTTTGTAGCTGCACAATATAAACTGTGCCTTGATCAAAAAGGAAATAATTTTCAAGAATGAATTTAAATGGGTAATCCTCCCCCAAATGGGCCAATAATTAATTCTGCTCCTCCCTTTAGAAAGCAAGATAAGAAACTTCTTTTAAAAGGATCTGCAACCCCTTTAAAAACAATAAACATATACCATCCAAAGAACATGAAGTCAGAGCTCCAGAAAATCTCTGCAGATTAATTTAATCTGCAGCCACAGTCGGAATATGAGCTCAGGTGACTTTAAGCACAGCTAGATGCCTCATATCTCTCTCTCTCTCTCTCTCTCTCTCTCTCTCTCTCTCTCTCTCACACACACACACACACACACACACACACACACACACACACACAGTACTGGCATTGCCTGTAATGTTAAAAGATTTGCAGCCATGAAGGTAATATCTCAACAGGACTGCACAGCTGAAGTCCAGGTGAGACAGCAAATAAGCTGGCAAGGTAAAAATGCCATCTGAGCTTATCTACATTCCTTTGGCACTTCGGGTACAACTGCACTGTAGGTGCTCATTTCCCTACAGAAGTGAACTTGCCCCCCCGCCCCCTCACTGAGCCTGTGGCCTCGAGGATGGGAACCTCAGTCCATTCATACCTGTATTCTGCAGGGCCCAGCCCATACATGGCATGTATTCCAAAAATGTGCACACACTCAGCAACTAGCCGGGTTCCATCCTCATCCAACTGAGGGCATTCCTATCGTGTTAGTATTATCTTTTTCTAGAGCTGCTTTAGGCTTTTCCCCAGAAAAACTAGAGAACATAAGTAGTTGAGTTCTGACTGACTGGCATGGCTCAGTGGTTGAGCAGTGACCTATGAACCAGGAGGTCACGGTTCGATTCCCAGTCAGGGCACATGCCCGGGTTGTGGGCCCAATCCCCAGTGTGGGGTGTGTAGGAGGCAGGTGATCGGTGATTCTCTCTGATCAATGATGTTTCTATCTCTCTCTCTTCCTCTCCCTTCCTCTCTGAAATCAATAAAAATATATTAAAAATCTTTTAAATAAAAGTAAATAAGTAGCTGAGTTCTCAGACACCATTTTCAAATTAATTACTTAAGTCAATCATTCAATCACTGTTGTCCACGACTGGTATCAGTTTCTGCCCGAGAACCTGACCTGGAATATCTTATTCCATTTCACACAGAAATTTAATATTCTCCTTCTATCCACTGAATGTGGGTATTAAGTTCAGATTGTAAGTGCCTCTGGGGGACTGGGTGCCAAAATGCCCCAGTGTAATGGCTAGAGAGGCAAGCCAGGGAGAGAAGAGCTCGGCTGGCCATGCACGAGTCTGGATGTGCCGTCAGACACACGGGCCTCCCCAGCCTCAGGGTCTCAGAACCAAGTCCACCAGCCACGCCCCGTTCAGCTGCACATCTCACGTGGGATGTGCTACTGCAGGCTTCAAGCACGGGGCATGCTTTTTGTCCTGAAGAGCATTAAAATCAAAGTTACCAAAGAAAATCAAAGCCATCTCCCTGCACATGAATGCTCATCACACGTGATGCCTGAGCTCTTGAGGTGCACACTGTCCAGCTCAAAACTACGGACAGCCAGCCAGCATAAGCCCAGGCCATGACCACAGGTCCTCCAGAACCTGGCCGGCTCTGACGTAACTGACGGCCACACCCACTAGCCCTCCTTCTGCCAATGAGCACAGGAGACATAAATAAAAGCAGAGACCACATTCATCCTACGCATGGCCACGTACCTTGATCTTCCCGGTAACAACGCTTATAAAGTGCAAACTTGGCAGGGCTCTCGGTCACAAGGAACTTTTTGAGCAGGGCCTCGATCACTTCCCCCACGGTGTTGGTGCTGCTGATGTGAAGAGTGTTCATGCAGCCGCTGTTGCCGGGAGCGGGCGCCTGCGGGGGCTTGCAGAGCTCCATCTGCACCTTGATGAAGCCAGTGTAAGTCCCATTCGGATTCTGAAGCGGGAAGAAAAGCGCACTCTTAGCTGCGCGGATGGCGGCACTTGAGGGAAGGGTCAGATCCAAACAAAACAAGGAAGACGCAACACTCCTGCGCTTGTTCTTGCCCGTACAGCTCTGTGGCCAAACTTCACTAGAGATCACTCCGATGTGCATGACCTCTGGGGGAGGGTACAACCCCAACTAAGTGCTTCCAGGGGCAAGGTCTGCAGGGCAGATGTGGGGAGGAGACGCCTCCTGACACAGCGCCGACTGAAGCCCAGACCCGCCTCTGAAGCTGCACGGCCCCGGCGAGGGTACAGCCCCTGGAGCGGAAGCTGGCCGAACCACAGGGCTCTGTAAGGCCCGGGGCACAGGTCTAGGGGCTAACGCACGAAGGAGCGACATCTGTAACTGATGACCAGCTATTACACAGAAAAGGAAGGTCACAAGCAGGGCTTTGAAATACCTAAGTCGACAAGGAGCAGGCAGTAAGGAAACAAGCTCTTCTCCATCCTCCTGGCTGTTAGACATGTACTAGGTTAGCAATTTCACTGAAACTCTTACACAAGTATATCCCGTGGACCACAGGGTACGCGATGGGCTTCAGGCACCTCAAGCAACAATATTTTTTAAATAAATCCAAGCTATAGTGTGAACTACAGATATAAGCACTTGTCTTTTTTTAATTTAACATGGTATTTATGTCTCCTTCTATATATACATATATTTTTACTAGCTTTAGTGAGGTTATAACTTTTTTTTTTAAATATATTTTATTGATTTTTTTACAGAGAGGAAGGGAGAGGGATAGAGAGTTAGAAACATCGATGAGAGAGAAACATCGATCAGCTGCCTCCTGCACACTCCCCACTGGGGATGTGCCCGCAACCCAGGTACATGCCCTTGACCGGAATCGAACCTGGGACCTTTCAGTCCGCAGGCCGACGCTCTATCCACTGAGCCAAACCGGTTTTGGCGAGGTTATAACTTTTATACAAAAAAAACCTGCATATGTTTAATATACATAATTTGATAGGAGTTTTAGCACCTATCTTAACTTATGGTAGAATTACTATTTTTTAATTTCCAAAAATGGTAATAATGGTCTTGTTTTCACTTTCTATTTTACATTCAGCATATTTTTAAAAAAATTTATTGTAATGTTTTATTTAAATAAATTATCAGGTGTTACGTATAAATGACACAGTTAAAGTAGGACATTAAAAAACTCCTTTTTGGCCCACTAGAGGTCTGGTGCATGACATTCATGCACTTGGGGGGGTGGGGGTGGGGGGAGGAAGGTTCCCTCAGCCTGGCCTGCAGTGGAGGTGGGAGAGGCTCCCGCCACCGCCACTGCACTCACCAGCCATGAGCCCAGCTTCTGGCTGAGTGATGCTCCCCCTTGTGGGAGCACAACAGGGGGCAGCTCCTGTGTTGAGTGTCTGTCCCCTGGTGGTCAGTGTGCGTCATAGCAACGAGTCGTTCCACCATTCAGTGGATCTGCATATTAGGGTTTTATTATATAGGATTATTTTTCTTCCTTTCCACAGGATCACTTTATAATACTAATTCACCTGTTCAGTCTTGTGGAAAGTAGTATACAACACTCAAAATTTTCATCTTGAAACATGGAAATTTGCATGTTTTAATTAAACTCCACAGAAGGTGGGGGGTGGAATTTCTCTACTTGGATGAAAACCGTTTGAAAAAGGAGAACATCACTGCGGGAGTGATGAAGAGTAGCCTTGAGTTCATCTGCCCCTCTCTCCTTTTTGGCAGAGTCCCACTAGGGAGGGATCTTTTATCACAAGGGTTTATATTTAAAAGCTCCTCCCCTGGGGTCACAGAACTCAGTAGGGCCTGTTCTAAACAGGTCACCCTGTCCTTTGCTGAACTCTTGTCAGCTCAGTCAATAGACTGAGAGGCAGGGGTCCAAGGGCCCTGGAAACTGGCACCAAGGGATGGCAGGTGCCGTGAGGAAAGTCCCCAAGTGGGGTGGGGGGAGCAGGGGGGTATAGCTGCCAGTCCAAGTTAAAGGAGCAGGAATACTCCAGGTTGGTAGTCAGCGCTCCTTTCCTCTCCAAGCCCTGTGCTCCCCTGTGCTCCTCTCCAAACTCCACAGAGTGCAGGCCAGGGGTGGGCAAACTTTTTGACTCGAGGGCCACAATGGGTTCTTAAACTGGACCGGAGGGCCGGAACAAAAGCATGGATGGAGTGTTTGTGTGAACTAATATAAATTCAAAGTAAACATCATTACATAAAAGGGTACGGTCTTTTCTTTTTTTTTTTTAGTTTTATTTATTTCAAACGGGCCGGATCCAGCCCGTGGGCCGTAGTTTGCCCACGGCTGGTGTAGGCACACTGTTGCAGGAGCTTGAATCGACAACACACAGGGAGCGGATACTACATACCTCATCTTATTCTTGACAACCAGCTGTGAAAAGTCTGAGCTCAATTAGATTCCAATCCATTAGCACAAACCCTTTTCCTGAAACTTCCAAATTTATTTACACAAGATAAACGTATGTAGGGCCTCATTAGAATCTGAGTTACCACCTATATGTTAAACAGGAAAAGATTACACTCACTGCTATAGTCCTTTGGAGGGCACAAAATCTTTTAAAATAAAATTTAACTTCATTTAACTGATTTTGAGATAAAGCTACTTCAAAATAATTTGAAAGACGCAGAAACATTTTCTTGTCCTACATACCTGGACCATTAACCTTCTGCAACTGTGACTCAGAGACTTTAAAACAGTGGTTCTCAACCTGTGGGTCGCAACCCCTTTGGGGGTCGAACGACCCTTTCACAGGGGTCGCCTAAGACCATCAGAAAACACATATATAATTACATATTGTTTTTGTGATTAATCACTAGGCTTTAATTATGTTCAATTTGTAACAATGAAATTGGGAGTCACCACAACATGAGGAACTGTATTAAAGGGTCACGGCATTAGGAAGGTTGAGAACCACTGCTTTAAAACATACAGATGGATTGTAACAGCAACAGCTCATACTTGTTTTTTACCTCTGTCAACCTAAAGTGTATCAGGGGTGCTTACCAAGGTCATCTTCAACTTGTCTGTGACTGCTAAATTGTATTTATGAATTTTCTCTTGGATTTCCTCTTTGCTGAGGTAATTGTGGGTTTCCTTCTCTTTCTCCACATCCTAGAAGAAAAACAAGCCATGCCACACATGAGCAATCAGAGAAAAAAATGCAGATAAGTCAGAAGTCAGAATTCTTGACACATGAGACCATTATGACCAACTGTGGGGCACTTTACCTTGAAACACTCTCTCTCCCTCTCTCTCTCTCTCTCTCTCTAACACTTTCTTCGCCTCTCACTTTCAAACTCTCACCCACCAACTACGGTTCTCATTCCTTCAGTCTTCCTGAGGGATATATCAAAAACTAATTTGTCAGCAGCTAAAAGCAACACTTCATCAAATATTGTTTTGCAAAACTGTCTTTGCTAATTTTCCCTTCTGCAAAAACACCATTCCCTAAAAGTACCTGCTAGATTGCCTATTTCAATTTTAAACACTATTTAAAGACATATCAAAAGCTTCTCTTTAGCAAGTTTTATGACCTTTATGATCTTACAGCTTTACAATATTGTACAATAGTTAATAAAAGTTGGCATTAACCACCAACCTGTCACATTATATACAATTACCAGAAGGAAATTTATTTTCCAAACAAATCCTCATGTCAAGATACAAGTAGCCAGACTTCCCCTACCCACCCACTCTCATCCCTACCCTTACCTCCCCACTCACTCTCTGCAGGGACAATACCAGTTAAATACTCTTATCCCTGTTGAAGAATTCACTAGTCGTTTATTGTCTCAAAGAGCTCAGCCAGGGTACTAGTATGACATCATGCAAAGGCTACCATGTGATCGCAGTTGGCCAAGCTCTTGTGACCCCTTGAAGCCAGGTATATCGGGCATCTGACTTGTTTAACCAAGTAGGTGTTATTATTTAACCACGTAGGTGTTATTATTCCAGTTTCCCAACAAGTTAACCAGGTAGGTGTTATTATTGCAGTTTCCGGATGAGATCAAGTTCTAAGAAGTAAATTAACCTGCCAATAGGAACTTAACTATTCTGTGGAAGTGATGGAACTTATCTGAAGCCGGATCCCAGAGTAACTCTAAACATTTACTGAAACACTAAGTACTTCCACAGGGTGTCCTCATTTGATCCTCCCGACAAAGAACTAATCAGCACCCCCGCGTTACAGACAGGGACACTAAGACTTACAGAAGTCAAGTGGCTTGTCTGGGGTAACCCAACTAGTTAACAGACCATGCTCAATTTTAATCCAGGTCCTCTGTGCTGTTTCCACGGCCGAACAGGTGCCACTGTTCCCACGTGGGTGTTTGAAAACTTAAAGGCTGCATAATCACATCCGAACCAGAGTAGCAACTCAGACAAGATGAAGGAACCTAGCAACCTCCCAGACAAAAAGAGGAAGAGCACTTAAAATCGAATGATTTATCCCCCCAATTAAACCTTTGAAGAGGGGCCGCTGTCCCAGCCGAATCCACCACACCGTCCTCACGCTGGAGACTACCCTAGCAGGCACTGTCCCACCGCTCCCTGGGAGCTAGAGTTCCACACACATGGATCACACACGGATGGGCTAGGGCCGAACTTGCACAGACGCTGTTAAGACGTAAAGTGGCTCCTGATCCATTCAGGTGCTTTGATTCTAGACCAGGGGTGGGCAAACTTTTTGACTCGAGGGCCACAATGGGTTCTTAAACTGGACCGGAGGGCCGGAACAAAAGCATGGATAGAGTGTTTGTGTGAACTAATATAAATTCAAAGTAAACATCATTACATAAAAGGGTACGGTCTTTTTTTTTTTTTTTAGTTTTATTCATTTCAAACGGGCCGGATCCGGCCCGCGGGCCGTAGTTTGCCCACGGCTGTTCTAGACCCTGAGAGCGGTGTGCTGACTATAAATTATCTCAGGAACTTCTCGGTGTCAGCACTCTCCTGGTGGCCTGCGTTGGCTAACAAATACCAAGGCAGAATGGTCCTCCCCTTGTTTCAGGGCCGGCCTCGAATTCCCCTGGGAGCATTCTATCTGCCAATGTAAAACCCCAAAGCAATCTTATTTTTTGGTGTCACTGGTTAGGGCAAAAAAGAAAGGGTGTATATTAAAATAACTTTCCAGAAGCTTCAATGAGTATTTCCAAGGAAACTTAAAGCCAGCAGCGGACACTGGTTTCTTTAATGTCAGAACTGGAGAAACTCCTGATTTGGGAAACTTTCAAACTGTTTCCCCCTTAAAGGAGACCCCCTTCCTCTCAGACAAGGAAGAACCCACACATGCCCTCCTCCAAATGCAACGCCTTTGGGAATGCAGCTGCCTTAGCAGGAAGGAGGAGGAACCCTGGAAACCAGAGTGAGAAGGTGGGTACAGGGGTACCAAGAGTGAAAGCAAGGAGAGGGTTAAGAACAACCTGTGTGGAGGGCGTGGACCAGATAAAACAGTATAAACATTAATCTTTAATTGCGGCAGCGAGGAGAGGAAATGGCATGGGGCGCAGCCGTCTGGGAAACCATCGCTTGTTGTTCTTGGCAGCCGGGAGGTATGATGCCACGCCTGAGGGTGTCCGATTGGGAAGCTGAAGTCGTCTTTTTCATAAGCCACTTTTATATTCCCCAAACCCTCCAGCTTCTCAGAGGGGGAGTTCTTCCATGCAAAATTATAAACCCTATTTCTCTCATGTTTTCATCCAGCAAGCCCTTGAGGGCTGCTCTTGGGTTAGCTTTAGTTCCTGGGTGGGGTCACATGGCTGTTTTTTACACACACACACACACACACACACACACCGTAAACATTCTCAAAAGGACACACCCTACCTCACAGATACCTGGAAATCCCTATGCAGTGTGGCCCGATCTCATGTTAAAACGGCTCACAAGATTTTCCAAGAATATACCTCTACAGACATGTGCAAAGGGTCTGAGAATTATTTATACTCTTTGCAAACTTCTCTGTAATTCTGAAATTATGTCAAAACTTAAAGTTAACAATATAACAGCAAAAAACAAAACAAAAATACAAAGCAACTGGGAGTGACTGTGTTGAAGAGAGCAAGCAAGCGAGCGAGAAGATGAACGTGTCCCTACCACTCCCTCTGTTTTAGACTCCTGAAGGCACGTGGCCCGTGGCTGACACATAACGAGGTCTGAGTCACAGGCCTGCCATGTTCCCGCTGTGTGACCAAAGGCAAGTCATTCAACCTCTCTGAGCTCAGTTTTCTCATCTCAGTAAAATGTACAAACCAATACACACTTTATAGGACTGTTATGAAAATACAATACCATCTGTTATTCAACAAATCTTTATTGAGTGCCTACTGGAGCCTGGCTCTGTGCCAGGCACTTAAGGCTGGGAAGACAGTTGTGGTCCCTGCCTTTCTTGGCTGACAGCCTAGTAAAGTTTGTCTTACTTCCCCTACCCCACCCCCTTTTGGGTTTTCCTCCCCTTTGGTCTTTTGGTTTTTATGGGTTTTGCATCACAGACCTCTTTATGAAATAAAGCTACTGACCTTTCTTTTAAAACTCGAGGCCTGGTGCATGAAATTTGTGCACAAGGGGGTGGGGGTGTCCCTCAGCCTGGCCTGCACCCTCTCCCAATCCAGGACCCCTCGGGTAGGGTCCCTAGGCCTGGCCGGCGATCAGGGCCTATGGGGACTTTCCTTCCCCCACCTCAGCTGCTGGCAGCTGGCCCTGCCCCCACCACTGCTTGCCTTTTGTACAGGGCTGCTCCACCCCTCCCCCACCACCGGTCGCCTCCCTCTGCGGGCGACAGGCGCGGGGTGCAATCACTTGGCTGGCCTGGGCCTCCCTCTGTGGGGTGATCGCTGGCAGGCCCTGCACACCCGCCACAGCTTCACTGGCCAGTGGCCTGGGCCTCCCTCTGCAGGGCGATTGTGGGGCGATGACAGGGCCCCTGACCAATCGCATCGCACCCACCTTGGCTGGCCTGGCCAAGTGCGTGTCATAGCATAGTCATCCGGAAGGTCATCCGGACGGTCATTCTGCTGGTCGATTTGCATATTATGCTTTTATTATTATAATAGATATTGAACGCTTCATGAGTTTGTGTGTCATCCTTGCGCACGGGCCATGCTAATCTCCGTAGCATCCCAATTTTAGTATATGTGCTGCCAAGGAGAGCATTACTGACCCTTTTATAAAAAAATGCAAAAAGCCTCAGTTCTCCCAATTGAGTGCTTGGTGACGAGGGCGAGGCAGACACTCAGTCAGTGGTGTCTTCATCTCTCCATGGTGGTCCCACAGCTCTCACAGTGCTGCTCTGACCCTGGCCAGCTTTGGGGTCCAGCCCAGGTCAGGGGAGAAGGGCAAATGTACTAGGCCAACAGGTGCTTGTGCTTTCTCTAAGGGAGGCTGGATTCCAAACTCATGGATTCCTACTTTCCTTCTCATTTCCAGTTGGGGAAATAAGCAATCACCTACTGACGTCTCAAACTGGTCCCCGGTGCAATACAGACAGGACATGTGCCAGGCTTATTGTGCACCCTGCATCCTAAGACTGCACTTCCTGGGAGAGTGGGCCTCCTGGGAGAGGTGGGCCCTAGCTGCAAAATGGAATTCAGGGGAGTCTCAGTAATGATGCCATGAGAGGGCTTCCTTCCAGGCTCTGTTCCAACAGACACCCTAAAGTAGCAAGGACCGAACCGGAACAGAAAAATCTTCCCCGGGAGAGACCTCTCCCTCCACTGCAGCCAGGGAGGGACCTCCGAGCACACAGGGCAGGTCCGCGCTGAGCGCGGTATTAAGCCAGTGATTTCCAGGAGCTTGAGAGCAAGCTGTTTGGGGACTTAAAAGAAACCTTCAACAAGTCAAGTTAAACACCCCTGAATTAGATTTTAAAATATGATTACAGGAAAAAGCTGCCCTGACATGTATTTCAGATGTGGAAACCCTGTGAGGAATACAGGAAGGGCTGTCACACAGAGCTACACCGGCAAAGCCCTAAGAGGGTACTTTAGGCTGGGAGCTCGCTTTGCTCAGCGTTTCATGAATGTGTGTGGGAAGGGCCGCGGCGGACAGGTGTGTATGTACAGTCATGATGTCTGCCAGACGTCCTTCACTTTCGGTGCCATAAGATTTTTATTGTATTTTGTTGCATTTAAAATTGTTTTTATTTCCACAATTCTGGTACCATGAGACGTTAAATGGGTAGGGGCACTGAGGGGCCCAGACAGTTCCCCGGGGTAAGGCTCTGCATCGCGGTACGCACGGTGCTATCCAGCAGCACGTGTGTGTCTGCCGTGATGGAAACGTGCTGAACCTGTGCTGTCCACGACTTAAATATAAACAGCCAACGTGTGGCTCGTGGTGCTCTGCTGGACAGTGTGAACGAGAATGTAGTGTGCACAGGTGTAATGCAGAACGAGGAAGGAGAAACCCAGAAGAAAGCAACATCAAATACTATGTTAAGTGGAAAGACACTGTTCTAGCCCCAGCCGGGCAGCTCGGTGGGTTGGGGTGTTGTCCCACACACCAAAAGGTTCCGGGTTCGATCCCTGGTCAGGGCATGTACACGAGGCAGCCGATCAATGTTTCTCTCTCTCGTCAATAAACATACCCTTGGGTGAGGATTAAAAACAACAACAAAAAAAGACAACTGTGCTAGAGCCACAAGATTCTATTCCTCAAGGGAAGAAATCAGAAGAGTTGTTTCTGGGGAGCAGGGTGCTGCTGTTCTTGACCTTAAAAGCACATGTGCTGCCGGCTGCTGAGTTCTCACGGTACCAGCACTGACCGCCGGCCGGTGCCATGTCTAGAGACGCTTATCTTGGTGTCCAGCCATGGCAGCTGATTCATCCTGTCCACTCTAGGGTGTTTTGCCCTGCCAGAGGGGAAGGGTTTTTTTAAAGGCAGGATGTAGAGGGCTGGGGTTCTATTTCTATTAATGTGAGGAGTCAGAGATTCGTCTTGCCCAAATTCAGCTTGTCAGCAACTCTTCTATGCAGCCATATAAGATGTTTGCTGTTCATATTTCCAACAGCAAAGAAAAAGGAAGGGAGGGATGTAACAGCCCCTCATCCTCCTTCAACCAAGAGAGCATCGCTGTCATGTCAGGTAGAAAAGGTGAATGGGAAAGTGGAGGGCAGTGCACACAAACTGCCAAACAGAAAGCACCACGTTCCCAGAGTGCCCCATGGTGTTCTACGGACAGAAAGGGCACGCCCCACCTCCTTTCCCAAAGTTCTTTTTTAAAAAAAAACATATTTTTATTGATTTCAGAGAGGAAGGGAGGAGAGAGAGATAGAAACATCAATGATGAGAATCATTGATCAGTTGCTTCCTGCATGCCCCCTACTGGGGATTGAGCTTGCAACCTGGGCATGTGCCCTTGATCAGAATCGAACCCAGGTCCTTTAGTCCGCAGGCCGATGCTCTATCCACTGAGCCAAATGGGCTAGGGCCCAAAGTACTTTTTTTTTAATATATATATTTTATTGATTTTTTACAGAGAGGAAGGGAGAGGGATAGAGAGTTAGAAACATCAATGAGAGAGAAACATCAATCAGCTGCCTCCTGCACACCTCCTACTGGGGATGTGCCCGCAACCAAGGTACATGCCCTTGACCGGAATCGAACCTGGGACCTTTCAGTCCGCAGGCCGACACACTATCCACTGAGCCAAACCAGTAAGGGCGGTCCAAAGTACTTTTTAAAAATATATATTTTTTTATTGATTTCAGAGAGGAAAGTAGAGGGAGAGAAGGAGGGAGGGAGGGAAGGAAGAAAGAGAGAGAGAGAGAGAGAGAGAGAGAGAGAGAGAGAGAGAAAGAGAGAGAAACATACATCAATGATGAGAGAGAATCATTGATCGGCTGCCTTCTGCATGACCCACACTGGGGATCGAGCCCACAACCTGGGCACATGCCCTGACCGGGAATTGAACTGTGACCTCCTGGTTCACAGGTCAATGCTCAACCACTGAGCCACACCGGCCGGGCCCAAAATATGCTTAAGGGCTCTGACAAGTCCTGCAGGTAAGAAACCTGTGTAAACAAACACACAGCAAGGAAACGTTAAGAGAACAGACTTAATAATGTTACAAGTGTGGCATTTATTCATTATGAGCAAGTGGGTACATTATACAGGAACAGATATTTCTCTTATTAATTATTCACTTCATGAGCAGTTTCTGTATTCATTAGGGATATTAGCATACCCAAACCACATCTGTTGAACTTGACAATTTTAAACAACCTCTTTGTCCCCAAGGCTACTTGTTAAACAACAAAGAGAGCAGCAGAAGGGAGTCTAGGTGGGTATTTTAGATAACTTCTAAAAAAATGGACTTCAAAAATAGAACTAGGCAGCAGCCTTATAAGGATGCATCACGGTACGAGCCTTCTCTCACGCACTGGTGAGAGGCAGATCAGGGTGCCATCTACTGCCTTTAAATTCTCCCAGCCTTGTCCCCTACCTCATACAAGCCTTCCACTCGGTCATACCCGACTCTCTCCTAAGAGCACCCTGTGCACCCCTCACCCTGCTCTTCACCTTGTGACCCTCCTAGTGAAGGGCAACCCCACCCAGGAAGCAGGCCTAACCACAGCAGCCCTCACTCACCTCTCTATCTTAGGAACCCCCATGCTGCCCCATCAATGCAGATTTAGCATCCACAGCACCTCCAGTGTTGCTGTTTCTATGTTTACTCTTGCCTCCCAACAAACCAACAGTGTTTTTAAATCTCTCACTTCCAAACACTGGGCTGGAACTCGCTTGATGCTGGGCACAGAGGCACTGCACGCCTTCTCCACGATTCTGTCTGCTCACAGAGCCCATAGACAGCATTTACGATCAACCCCCTTTTGTACGTCTTATCAATCTGCCTGAAGCTTTTTGCTGGCTTCTCCAAACTGAATGAATCTGCGAGGGCACACAAAAGGCCTTTATAACAGCAGATACAGAGTTTTATACGCTTCTGTTATCCATCTGCACCATCAAAGAAGAGAGCCCTTCAAAGCATGCCCCTTCAATACCCTCGCACACCCGGGGCAGTGAGAGCAGGCGCGGGCCCAGCATGTTAATAAGATTAATTGCAGTTGTGCTACACATTAAAGGAGTTTCATCTGGGCCTTCCATGACCTCACTTTTCAAACCCCCTGGTTACCAGCCGGCCATACCCTATATGGTTGTACTTTAAAAACTGGGTCGCGTGCCAATAGTCAAACAGCCACTCATTTGTTTGGAGCCAGAAAACAAACTTGGAGGCGGACCAGCCTCCCCAGAGTGCCCCTGCCTGAGGTCCCAACCTCAAGGCTTACCAGATTACACCAGACTTCGAAATCCCAGTTTGACATGTTTTCAAAGGGAGTCAATTAAGATGCTATTCATCTCTGAAAGGTAATACATTTCACAACTGGTTTAACTTTCTTCCAATTCTAGGTGAGCTAGATAACAAAGAAAGCTTATTACAGGCCTCAGAGCCAAGCACATCCCAGTCCAGCCAATCAGCTCTGATCATTAGAGAAAGAATGTGGCCGAAGGCGAGTCAGCACTCTGGCCTCAGCACACCTCTCTCAGGTCTCAGGAGCGATGAATTCTTAGGTTTTCAAAGTCAGGCATGTTCCCCAGGACTCGTTTCCCTGATTATTAAGAGAGCACTAAGGCCCTGGCCACGCAGCTCAGATGGTTGGAGCATCATCCAACCAATATGCCAAGGTTGCAGGATCTATTCCCAGTCACGCACATACAAGTCTCGACCAATAAATGCATAAATAATGGAAAAACAATATTCTCTCTCTCTCTCTCAAATCAATAAACGGTTTTAAATGACAGCATTTGGACATTCAGCAATAAGTTTTCTAATGCTCTATTCCATCTACAACACTACCCTAATTAAGTACCTACAAAGTCAGCCCACTGGGTATTATGAAAATTAACTGGAAAACTAAGTATAGAGGTTGTGGAGAAGCCAGAAGGGAAGTGAGACTGGCATTCCAATGCTGGGCACATACACAATGCCCACCCTAAACTCTAGATAAAAGCATCTCACAGCCCCAGGTTCTGCAGGCCATCCGGTAGCCGTCCATGTCTTCTGGCTAACAGCAACTACAACTGTGACTCTGGAGCCACAGCCCACTAATTCAGATTAGCTCCGGGATATGAGAGGCTCTGACCAAGGTCAGAGTTTGAAGGTCAGGCCCACAGTATCCTTTATGGAACCTTGGAACCTTTGAACCCGGGCAATAATGGACTTTCCGGAGAAAGGAAATGAGCAGGCTCATTTGGAGGCGAGCCAGACAGGAAGCGCCAAGGAATGCTGCGGCAGCCAGGAGGAGGCAGGTGGGGCCCATCTGGGCAAACTCAGCAGGCTCCGGGCTGCCCCAGCTCCTCCGACGGCAGGAATCTGAAAGTCAGGGCAGAGGCTTGCAACAAACTGATGCACCACCTTGCCAGCTGAAACCTAATTTGATCAAAGGACAGTCTCGGGAAACTTAGAAATGTCTGTAGACCAGCACTCCAAGAAAAATGATCAAAAGCAAGCTCCTCCGATTATTTGATGTCTCTTCCTTGCCAATTATAATATGGAGTCTAAGATGCCACCACATAATAGAAGAGCTAATTGCGCCTTAGGCTCTATATTTTCAGGCAACACAGGGTTTAAAAGTGTAGATGACAACAACTTACTTGTTCAGGATGACAATGTCCAGGGAGACAGTCACATTTAAATTGAGGCCTGGATTTGTCAATCCTCAATCCTCACTCATCGCAGCCTTTCCAATGCACTAGTCCAAACACGTGTGTGCCATTCTCTCCTACCAACCGAGGTCCAGGGACGGCACACAGGCGTAGACAGAGAAGAGGCAGCCCTTCCAAACCAAATGTCCAGACCATGAACCTTTTGTTTTTTTCTTTTAAATAGACAAATTTGAAAGTCTGAAGGGGGGCACAAGAAGTTATAAACTGTTTTATATCACTCTTGTTCCCATTAATCCAATCCGCCCCCTCTTCCTGAATTCTCCTCCTCTCCGGCCCCACACGCCACTCGAGATGGCTCTTTAGATTAAGTCTATTCCTGGCCTTTAAAAGGCAGAGCTGAAGTACCAAGTGTACAGGACTCATTCTTCTGCCACAGGCAATACATGCCGAAGAACAAAGGGAGACCCCGCCAGCTGCCCTCCAAGACAAATGCAGAGAACGGTGCAGGGAGAACGCTTGCACCGCCAGCTCCGCCCTAGTGGCCATTTCTTTCCCAGGTGCAGCCCGGGGTGTGGGGTTTATCTGAGGAATCCCCTCCTCCTTCCTACCAAGGTGAAAGCACTCTGGAGTAATTAAAAGATGTTAGAGCAATTCAAATAAAAATCGGGTGGATTAGGACCTGAAGAGCTACACATAAGCAATTTCTAAAGATCCTCTTTTCTACAGAAATCCTCTTAGCTGTGGATGGAGTGAGAAACACAAAAGTCACCGGGAGGGAGAACGTCAGGGGCACATGGTTGCTCACTCAGAGGCTGGGGTGAGTCAGGCGACAAGCAAAGGAAGACCAGCAGGAGAGAGACCCAGGAGGCAGACCCGCTGCTGGCAGAACTGCAAGGGCCTGGCACCCCCGGCCCACCTCTCCCACCTCCCTGAACCCAGGCAGGGGCTCGCTCCCCGGCCCAGACCTTGGAGGGTTCAGGCAGTGCCCAAAACAAACACTTGAACTTTATACTCAGAAGAGGGAAAAAATATCTTTCCAGTACACCTCCCCCACTTGGCTTCCCTTTCCTTTCTGGTCTCTCCCACAACCAGGACTGGCAGAACTGGCCAGCCCCGGTCCCTGGGAGGAAGGTGACCGCCGCTGCTCTGCGTGAATCTCCTCCTGGCCAGGTTCCAGACACTGCCACACCCTTCACAACTGACTCACAGTCCTTACAATAACCTGTGGTTGGGTGGTACCATTATCTCCATTTTGCAAATAGGACCATGGAGGCTCAAGAGGACGGATGTGCCCAAGGGCCTGCAGGTGGGTCAGAGGCTGAGTGAGGTGGGTCGGTCTGATTCAAAGCCAATTAAGCCAAGAAAGCAGGAGGAGGAAGAACCTCGGATAAGAACAGTGAAAGCTGCCGAAACCGGTTTGGCTCAGTGGATAGAGTGTCGGCCTGTGGACTGAAGGGTCCTAGGTTCGATTCCGGTCAAGGGCATGTACATGGGTTTCGGGCACATCCCCAGTGGGAGATGTGCAGGAGGCAGCTGATCGATGTTTCTCTCTCATCGATGTTTCTAACTCTCTATCTCTCTCTCTTCCTCTCTGTAAAAAATCAATAAAATATATTTAAAAAAAAAAAAAAGAACAGTGAAAGCTGCCCAGACCCTCAGGTGCGGGCATGGCTGGCTTTTAGAGGCTAAGTTGTTTTGATATACAGTATTCAACCTGAATTTTGGAGGGTGAAGTACTAATCACACCAGGACCACAGAGAATTCGTGTAACAATTAGAAACTGTATGCCCAGCATTAAGGAAATAGATAAGTATATTCAGATCTAAAAAGGGCCTGTAGCCCTAGCTGGTTTGGCTCAGTGGATAGAGCGTCGGGCCTGTGGACTTAAGGATCCTGGGTTCAATTCTGGTCAAGGGCCTGGGTTGTGGGCTCGATCACCAGTAGGGAGCTTGCAGAAGGCTGCCAATCAATGATTCTCTCTCATCATTGATGTTTCTATCTCCCTCTCCCTACCTCTCTGAAATCAAAAAAATATATGTATATATATTTTTAAAAGGTGGGGCCTGTACAGGAGGCTGTTTATATGAAGCCTAAAGAAGAGGTGTTGTTGTTTTTTTAAGAATATATTTTTATTGATTTCGGAGAGGAAGGGAGAGGGAGTGAGAGATAGAAACATCAATGAGGGAGAGAATAATTGATCGACTGCCTCCTGCAATGCCCCACACTGCGGACTGAACCCGCAATTCAAGCATGTGCCCTGACCAGGAATCGAACCATGACTCCTGGTTCATAGGTCAACGCTCAACCACTGAGCCACGCTGGCCAGGCCAGAAGAGGTTTTTAACTGGAAAGAAAAATCCAAGGAGAAACTGTATATCTAATATGACAAACTATGTGCCAAAAGACAAGAACTATTCCCAAATGCTAATAGTGTTTATGCCTGATTGGAGAGATCTGAGATGGTGTTTTTCTTTTTTTCTGTACCAAACTTTCCCTATGTCTGTATGACTGTGAATCAGGAAAAAAGTAAAATCTAGGGAGGGAAGAAAAAAAAAAAACAACTTTCATGTATAAAAAAATAAAATTAAAACAGCCTTAGAAACAAAAGTAAACACAAAGCAATTCAGCACTTTGCCAGGATAACTGAACACCCTTTGATGTGCCGCCTGTACCTCCCAGGGGGGCCACCCCCACCGATAAACAACGCCAACATTGAGAACAGAAGCATCGAGGTGGCAAAGCTATACCCCTCCTCCACGCTGACAGCCAATGGCACTTACAGAGACCAACGGATGGAAGGGCGGAGAGCAAACCAGAGAGAGATCTCCAAGGTAAAAACAGGCCCTTGTCATCTGGGAAATAAAAGTCTTTTTTTCTTTTGCTAAAATCATACTGCTATTGCCAACGACTGCCAGAAGGAAAGGTGGGTTTTTAAAATATCATCGTCTCAGTTCACCAATTTATAGGTAACAGCTACCCTATAGCTGTCCTGGAAATTGATCTGCCAGTAATTTTTTTTTGGGGGGGGGGGTGACCTACACAATTCACATTTTCTTTGTTGTGCAGGAGTGTTTGTGTTGCTGGTTTAACCTGAGGGTTCACACACCCTCCAGCTCGTTTTCCTCCTGGTGTGCATAGGAAGTCCAAGGGCCGGAGGAAGTGCCCTCGCGCCCCACCTTTCCTCAGTGCTGTGGGTCACTGACCGGCCGGCACCGGCCGGCACCACCCCCACAACCGGGGCCAGGCCAGGAGGTGGCGGGGCATGGACAAGGAGGGCAGCTCAGCTGGGAAGTGTAAAAGTAAAATCTGGTTTGCTTAATGTCTCAAACATGTTAGCACTAAGGGGTCTGACACCAACATGTGGATCAACATTGTTCACCGTTGTTCTTCACTAAACTGAAGATCTGGACGGGAAGCAAGTAGCAGACACTCAAAGAGGAGGGTCAACACACAGTACTCCACACAGGATGTGCGCCTGCTTGGAGCTGCATCCGCAACCCCACGAGGGCGTCGCCTGAAACAACAGTGTCCTGAGGGCTCGGGGTACCATCTATCCAGTGCATCTAAGGCAGCGGTTCTCAACCTGTGGGTCGAGACCCCTTTGGGGGTCGAACGACCCTTTCACAGGGGTCGCCTAAGACCATTGGAAAACACATATATAATTACATGTTGTTTTTGTGATTAATCACTATGCTTTAATTATGTTCAATTTGTAACAATGAAAATAGATCCTGCATATCAGATATTTACATTATAATTCATAACAGTAGCAAAATTACAGTTATGAAGTAGCAACGAAAATAATTTTATGGTTGGGGTCACCACAACATGAGGAACTGTATTAAAGGGTCACGGCATTAGGAAGGTTGAGAACCACTGATCTAAGGAAGCCGGAAGGCAAGGTCTCCATCACATTTTACAAATTCTGGGCGACATCCCTCACTCAGAACCGTGAATGTTTAGACCACCAATTCCGCTGCCCAGGACCTTTATCATGAAGTCCTCTAACCTGTATAACAAAACAAAACTTTAAAAATAACCACTTAAAGAATGTCCTAGAAAAGAACTGAAGATATTTCAAATTGAAAGATATTTGTTCCCCAAGGTTACGTGGGCCACATTGTTTAACTCCCGATTATAAAATCAATTCCAGGTGTAACGCAAGTTTTTGCGAGTTTTTCTAGAGTATGTGTGGCATGTAAAATTCTTTCAACTTAGGAAGATACTTCCTCAGGAACATTTTTTTTCCTCCCAAAAGATCAAAATTAATCAACTACTAAGTCCCACTCTGCTGAGAACCACCCCAATCACCAAATTTTCTGAGGCTCCAGCCTGAATTAAGAAGAAAGAACAGATTTCTCGTGATCCGTGCTGGGGTAGGCGCTCCAGGCACCAGGGACGGACAAGAGCTGGGTCGGCGGCGAGTAGCCTACAGCATTTGCTCGTCGTCGTGATGAGTTTGCCCCTCAATCCCAAACCTTTCCTCAACGGATTAACAGGAAAGCCAGTAATGGTGAAACTTAAGTGGGGAATGGAGTACAAAGGCTACCTGGTATCTGTAGATGGCTATATGAACATGCAGCTTGCAAACACAGAAGAATACATAGATGGAGCCTTGTCTGGACACCTGGGTGAAGTTTTAATAAGGTGTAATAATGTCCTTTATATCAGGGGTGTTGAAGAAGAGGAAGAAGATGGAGAAATGAGAGAATAGCATCTTTTGTGGGAAATTTCTTTTTATATATATTTCTAGACAATAAAAATTTGTTTTTTCAACTTGAAAAAAAAAAAAAAAAAAAAGAAGAAAGAACAAAGGGATTGGTAAATGCCAGTTTGGCTGGGTGGTACCTGCATTACTGATGAGGAAATGGAGGCCAGATACTGGTCCAGGTCACTCAACAATGGTTAGATCTAATGCGACCGCCCCAAGAGCTCTTGAGATAGAAAGCTTAACCCCATTGTACAGGTGCACAAACCAAGGCTAACATCACAGAAGTAGAATGTGAACAGGAGGCCTGGCCCGCTCCAATGCCATGCCCTTTCTACTCATACCTAACAGCCTCTAGAGCCCAGGAGAAAAATCTGTCGTTGCCAACCAGCTGTGTGACCTCGGGGAAGTATAGAACAGGTGTCATTTATTTTTCCTCTTAACACTTGGAGTGCGGGTGAATTTCCCGCCAAAATATAAGATGGCTCTGTCTTTTGGTTTTGTTCCATCCACCAAAAGGGTGGATTACAAACAAATATTTGGTAATACACAGTTACAATCGGCCCGAGTTTACACGTTTCCCGCACTCCACCGCAAATCTATATGAACCGAGTTAAAGACGGCTCCCGCGGAGTACGCTCAATTCACGCGAGCCGACTTAACTCGTTTCCCGCACTCCAAGTTAATAGGAAAGGAAGGCTTCCTCTCTCCACCCATCAGTCTCCCTTCCCTACAAGGATCTGATCAGTAAGTCTGGGAGGAGAAAGGAGGCATGCAGGCACAGCCAGCCCCTCCCTCCGTCCTCACAACACAACATTTGGCCTGACCCTGTAAGGGGCCAGCCCCAGGGCAGCACTGGAGGTTAATCTCAGGAAGGCCACATTCTCTCTACCAGCTTTGTCTGTTATCAGCAATAAAGGTAAATTTTGCTGCCCATGTTCCTTGCTCCTGACTTCTCAACTGACTCAAACCCAGACAGGGAAACAGTAAATCTGGTCCTCCTTGAGTACCCCTGCACCTGCAAAATGAAAACATTTCTCAGACAGAAACTCTATTATCCAAAATAGAAGTCATCGTTAGCGTCGGTAGCTAGTATTAATAAAGGAAGGGAGCAGAGGGAATCGGGTACTATTGAGCCTGAGGAGCTAGGGAGCTGAACAGACACGGGGCCTGTTCACTAGGAAGCTGCATCACTCACAGGCTCCCCAGGAGGCCGCTGTATCAGGACTAATCCCCAAAGGGCAGGAAGAATGTCATCAGTTATTACCAGGGGAGAAGTAAAAACAGCAGGAGGAATTCCTCTGCTGGGCATATGCCCAGTAGGAGCCAAGATGGTGCCTGCCGGGAGGTCCTTGTACTATGGGGCATGGGCTGTAGGAACTAAGACAGTGACCATAAAGGGTAGAGCCTAGCCTGAGTGAAGGATTGGATAAGGGACACAGGACCCAGAAGATGTAGGAAATGCACTGATTGGGGGAAGTGGATTGGTCAGTTTGAAAAAGCGCCTGGTCCTTCCCAAGCCCAGGATAAGGTAGCGCTTGCCCCGCTGGCTGTTCTCTCTATAGCAGCCAGGCAACCCCCTAGCAGCCACCTGCCCGAGCACAGGGGGAGCAGATGGGAACAGAGGCTGGACAGGACTGGGCCTCTGAAGCAAGGGCACAGAGTCTCTGGATCGTGGTCCTCCTTCTGGGCTTAATGAAGACAAGACTGGACTACTTTCACAGCAGGACTGAGACGTGAGCCATCAGGAACCTGGGCACAGCCTTCCATTCAACCAACATAACCTGGCCGCTAAACCTCGTCCTCCTATTTGTGGGTCCCTTGAATGCTTTCCTTGCGACTCCGTCAAAGGGCCTCATTTCCACCAGCAGCATGATGACTCCCTTCTCTCTCTCAAGGAACTTGTAATAGAAAGAACACACACACCCACAAAACTGAAAACCATTTTCAGACATTAACAAATGGAAACTGTTAACGAGTACACCTACTTTCACAAAAATAAATGTTCCTCTACTGAGGCAGGTACACATTTTTGAAAGCACAGATCCTGTTTTAAAAACAAAAACGTGCCTTAGAAATGTCCAAGGCCGTCTAGGGCTCAGGCAAAGGAAAGGCTGGCGGTGGCTGTCTCCCCCCAAACCCCCCCGCCCCGTGGAGACATTCTCATCTGGCTTCTAGACCAAGGGCTTCTGCATCCACACCTGTCAACACTTCCCAGCCACTCCCATCTCAACCAATGTCTCTCCCACTCCTTTTGTTCCCAATTCCTTAATTTTCTCGAGAAAATATTAAGTCTCTTTGTGTACACCACTAACAAATTATATTTTCCTTTCATTCTGCCTAGAAATGGGTCAATTTTGGCATTCAGCAAGTATTTGCACCTAAATGTTTGGCACTGGGCTAAGAGCACAGGTTCTGCCCTTCAGGGCAACAGTGGGACAGGAAAAGGCGCTAAATGGAAGATAAAGTGACAGGTGGTACAGAAGGAGCACAGCAGAGAGAAAGGCACCCTGGACGAGGTGAGAGCTAGGCTGGAACCTGCCTCAGCTATCTGTAAATTCTTCTGTGAAAGTTAAAGTCATTTCCCCCCTGGCTAGTGTGTTCAGTGGTTAGAGTGTCAGCTGGTGTAACAAAGGGTTGTAGGTTCAATTCCCAGTCAAGGGCACATACCTCGGTTGCAGGTTTAATCCCCAGCCCTGGTCACATCATTGTTTCTCTCTCTCTATCTCCACCTCTCTCCCTCCTTTCCACTCTCTCTAAAAAAAAAATCAATGGGAAAAAAAAAAAGATAGTAATTCACAGTTTGCTTCCCCATCAAACACGTTATCCAGAGCTCATGACAACGTTACTGGAAAGGGGACCAGGTCCTGAGCGGGTCTGCCTAGGGCCGGCCGGTAGTGTGTGGGTTCTTGACTTCATGCAGGAAAGATTCCACGAGTCCAGGCGATTTTTTGAGGACGTTTATTACAGGTGGGGACAGTGAAACAAGGAAGAGCCTAGGACAGAAGAAGCAACAGGAGAGACTAGGTGGGCAATGAGCTTAGACTGGGCTGCTTTGGCTCACTTAGAAGTCAGAGAAAAGGGGGCCTTGGGGACAGCTTCAGGGGGTTTGCCAGGACAAGCAGCTGCTGCCCACTGCTCCCTGATTGCAAGTCTCGCTGTGTCCCTTAGAGCTTGAGATGCATGCCTGTGGGAAAAGGGTGGGGGGGAGAGGGAAAGGACTTTCAAGTTGAGGGGTTTTAAAGGCTGGGAATTTAGGGGAGGTCTGAAAGAAGGACTTCAATAGCATATTCATCAGTGTTATGCAGATGTGCCAAAATAAGATTCATTCCCTTAAGTTCATTTGTCCTTGGGTTAGGTTGGCAAATGGCACTAATTGGATTTCTGTCATCTAGCTTCCTGAATAGGGAGATTTAAGCTATTTACCCCCTGGATAAGAAGAAATGTAAACTATTTACTCTTAAGTGTCCTTGGTTACAGAATAGAGGGTTTTACAATTTACTAGAGGGCTGTAAACTGCTTGGTCTTTTACTATCTGTCTCAGTTTCCCTATTCAGCTTGTCCTGGCTTACTAGCCTGTCTCAAAACTAGAGAGAAGTAGCTAGAGCAACTAATGGAAGGCTTTAGAAAACCAGAGTACACAGCTCAAATCAGCTAATTTTAGACAAAGAGAAAATACCGTAGCATGCTACAAAAGGGTATTTTTAGTCTGTTTCAGTTAACCAATCTTAACTTCTCAGTAGAAAGGAAGAAAAAAGAGAAAAAACTATTTCAAATTTATTACAAGGAAAAATGGTTTTCCTTCTTTGCCTCGTTCTTTTTCATCCTAAAACAAAAAAATAAACAATTGACATTCTATAACAAATTCCATTCTATGCCTAAACACCATAAGTATTTGCTTTGTACTCAGGGAAGAAAGTGGCCTACAGCTGCTATTCCTCGCTGCATATCTTGAGAAAATATTGAACAATGTGAAACACATACGAGCAATAGGCAATAAGTTAACACAAAACCTGAGTTTCCTTCCCTTCCCAATACCACCCAAGAATTGCTCCAACATTCCCTAGCTTAAGGGGAACCTCAAGCCTGCCCCAGTCTCTTACAAACTCTGACTAGCCCAGCCTGAGACCATGCCACAGTTTGGGGTGGGAGGATCGAGAAGTTCAGCTTTCACTATACACAATGGCACTTACTTATTTTCTGCAAAAAGCCATCAGTCTTGGAAATCTTGGCTACGCCATCCAGTACCCTGACACTCCTTTTTCAGATCTGTTACTAACTCAGCCTCATTTTCCTGAAAACACCCCCAAGAAGCCAGATTCCTCCTCATCCTTGGATTCCTGCCAGTCAGCACGTCTGCAAGGAAAGCAAACATCCCACTCTCAGATGCTCATGCTGTTACACTAGTTGTGCTGTTCACATTTTCCCTGTTCACTCAACAGAGATTAATGAGTGCCGGGTGCTGTGCACGGTGCTTTGGGACAGACCCTGCCCTTAGAGAGCTCGATGTGTAACAGACTGAAGTGCTGGGTCTCTCAGACTCTCGGATTCCATCTGGTTCAAGGATGGAACAAGTTCCCTCAGCCTTCAGGCTAAGCTCCTGCTTTAGACATGCAGATCATTAAAGGAATTCGGCTAGGGGCTTGAGGTTTCATAAAAACAGCTCCCCCCATTTTCCCTTCTCTTGATATAAAAGCCTGAACCCTGTACTGTCTAAAGATGGATTTGAGAACTAGGGCTCTTTTTTTTTTTTTTTAAATATATTTTATTGGTTTTTTTTTACAGAGAGGAAGGGAGAGGGATAGAGAGTTAGAAACATCGATCAGCTGCCTCCTGCACACCCCCCACTGGGGATATGCCCGCAACCCAGGTACATGCCCTTGACCGGAATCGAACCTGGGACCCTTCAGTCCGCAGGCCGACGCTCCATCCACTGAGCCAAACCGGTTAAGGCGAGAACTAGGGCTCTTTATTCTTGGCTTCTTAATCAGTAAACCTTTACTTACCTCAGACTGACCTTTTGAGTTTTGGCCTTTCAAAGTATCGGCACAGGGACTTTGGATGGGTAACAAGCACCGAGGAAAGGACAGGGGTAACAGGCTGGCTGGTTTCTGTCTAATAGCCTTCCACTCAGCGAACCCTTATTGCTACTGTGTGCCAGGCACTAGGGCACATGTGGTTCTTGCCTTCAGTGGGTTTAACCCATCCCTGTATGAGGAGTGAGCTTTACTTACTTTTGCAGAACCATTTCTAAATTGTAGACATAAAACTAACTCTATCCCTAGATGCTTAAGCAAATTTAATTTCTTAATATCATCCAATATCCTTCCCATATTCAGCATTCCCTATCCATCCCGAAAATGTATTTCATAGATTTTTGACCCAATCAAGGTTCTTATATTGTTTTGTTAAGTCTTTCTGGTCTTATTTTAAAACACTGAAGTCAGCCCTAGCTGATTTGGCTCAGTGGATAGAGTGTCAGCCTGCAGACCGAAAGGTCCTGGGTTCGATTCCATTCAAAGGCACGTACCTCAGCTGCAGGCTCATCCCCAGCCCCGGCCCTGATCAGGGCGCAGGCAGGAAGGCAACCAATCGATGTGTTTCTCTCACACAGATGTTTCTACGTCTTTCCCTCTCTCTTCCACTCTCTCTAAAAACCAATGGAAAAATATCCTCAGGTGAGGATTAAAAAAATAAATATTTAAATAAGTAAACAAAACACTAAAATCAATATAACTCACACTGAATTCACTAAAATGTCAACATTCAGAGGAAATAAGCACAAATATGGGGGGGGGGGAGTAATGTTGCATTCTAGAACTTAATTTTTCATTTCCAGCTGACTAGAGTATTGGGTATATCAAAAATTCTAAATTGCTAAGTATAAGGATGGCCAACTGCTGATTCACCCACCACAAGTTCCCGCTGCCTATAGAGCCTCCCATCAGGGATCCCAAAGGAGAGGTGAACGCAATACAAATCTCGCAGCCCACCCAGGGTGTTGATGACCACATTATCCGTTGTGGTTTTCTGGCCTGTTTCCTTCCCTGCAAAACAGAGAATACTGGCTGGACTCTCATTCCTGCAGGAACTAAGAATAATCAGTCAGCAGTAAACCAGTTATTTCCCAGGTGAACAGATCAACTTTGAAGAAAGCAAAGTTAGAAACTTCCTGGGAATTTTCAAGAAGACTATGCAAATACAGTGGGGCTTTGACTTATGAGTGTCTCAACTAATGAGTTTTTGAGATACCAGCTGTCTCTCCTCCATTTTTTGCATTGAGTTGACAGAGTAATTTGAGTTAACGAGCTCCTTAACGAGCTTGGTCTCCGAACGAATTAAACTCGTAAGTCAAGGCCCCACTGTACAGTCAAGTGCCTCTTAATGAGGGCTATGTTCTGAGAAGTGCATCATTACGTAATTTCGTTGTGTGAACATCCAATACTACGCTTAAGAAACCGAGATGGTATAGCCGACTTACACACCTAACCTAGATGGTATAGCCCAGTGGTTGGCAAATTGCGGCTCTCGAGCCACACGCGGCTCTTTGGCCCCTTGAGTGTGGCTCTTCCACAAAATACCACGTGCGGGCGCGCATGTACAGTGCGATTGAAACTTCGTCGCCCATGCACAGAAGTCGGTATTTTGTACAAGAGCCACACTCAAGGGGCCAAAGAGCCGCATGTGGCTCGCGAGCCACAGTTTGCCGACCACTGGTCCAGCCTATTGCTCCTAGGCTACAAGTCTGTACAAAACACATGTTAAGTCAATCATGAGGCAAAGTGATGCAATCAAGAGACACAGGAAAGCCCTGGTTGCAGGCTCGATCCCCAGTAGGGGCTGTGCAAAAGGCAGCCGACTGATGTTTCTTTCTCATCGATGTTTCTCTCTCCCTCTCCCTTCCTCTTTCTCTCTAAAATCAATAAAAATTTATTTAAAAAGAGAGAGACACACACAGTAAACATGAGATGCATGAGGCTGCTGCCTGCATAACACAGCATACTGTTTTATAGCAAACTTTTTTTACTAAGTAGAAAGATTACACGACCCTCTAAAATAATGACAAAAAGTATAACACAGTAAATACATAAACCAGTAACACAGTCGCGTATTATAATTACCAACTACTCTGTACAGTACATGATTATAGCAGCTATACTTTAAGCTGACCGGCAGTGCAGGTTTGTTTACGTCAGCATCACCACAAACACGTGAGTAATGAATGCATTGCTCTAAAAAATGACTAGGAATGCTTCAGCTCCATTATAATATTTTTAGAGGCCTGCTGCACACATACATGCACATTGAAAGGAAATTAATTAGAAGAAATATTTTAATATCACTATTCGCCCTTTCTCTATAATAAAAGTGTCAACCAAATTCACAATCGACATTGACAGATGGAAACATATGCGGGTGACTGGCACCAGCGAGAGCTTTATATCCTATATAATAAAGAGCTAATTAGACCAAAGAGCAGAACGAACATCCAGACGACCTTCCGGATGAAGCCGGGGCTGCGAGGGCCAAGCCCCTGGCATGAATTTCATGCATCGGGCCTCTAGTATATAGATAAACTTGCTTAATTAGTCCTGCTTTCTGATTTAGCTGAACTTTTCCCAGCCCAGTGAAGCACCCCAACTTCTCTTTCAGGTAATTGTCAGCAACACAGCAGTAAATATCAACACAAAGCAGGTTCTTATTGTAGATCACGCAGGGAGAACAAAGGGTGAAATATTTAACTGTAGCAGTGTTTGACTATATTCTGCGCAGTGAGAAAACCTAAAATCATTTTCAAGTTCCACTATTTCTTACTTCTTTTCAGTCGGGTCAAGTTTCTAAACTTTCTAAATCTCTGTTTTCTTGCTAATGAAAAGAAAATAGGATTCAACCAAGTCTCCTACCTACCTACTCCAGGACTTCTGTGAGGATCAAATGAGATGAGGTAGTGAAACACTTCACAGACATTTGGTTAAAGTGTGATGTTTGCACCTGGCTATAAAGCAAGTCAGGTTCATGGGCTGAAGAAACTGCAAGGAGGCTAGTTGCTAGGGAGAGGAAGCTGAGCGTCGCTACATGATGTCATTACCCAGTGCCCACAGCAACCGTTTCCGGGCTGGGCTGTGGGCCACATTTTGCACCATGGGGTCTTGGCAGCATTGGCTGCGATTTGGTGGGGTGTCGCTCTGGGGTGGTTGCAGGGCCTGTGTCCCATTTGGGGGAAGCCAAGTGTTGCTTTGTCAGCACCAGGTCTGAGGTGCCATTTCTTTGTAAATGGCTAGTGCACGTCACAGCAGCTCCTGTGTTGAGCGTCTGCCCCCTGGTGGTCTGTGAGCATCATAGCGATCATAGCGGTCAGACGGTCAGAGGGACACTTAGCATATTAGCCTCTTCTATATATAGATAGGACCACCTTCATAGATGTGGCCCCTCGTTGACAAAATGTCATTATACAGTGCATGACAGGACACCAGAGTTTCAGGATCCTATTCAATCAGCCTTCAAAGGGCCCATTACTGTATTCATGAAACATGGTTGGAGGTAGTCACTGAAGGATGAGAGTGTGAAGATTGATAAACAGAAACCTCATTTAAATTAGAGCTGCGAGGGCCAGTTGGGGGAGCTCTCATGACCTACCAATTACCCCAAACAGGAAGAGATGTACTTTCCACCTCCGACAGAAAGCTGTTTTCCTTCTTTTCAGGGTTAAGTTTTTATTTTTTTCTTAATCTTTATTGTTGAAAGTATTACAAATGTCAGGAATATGTTCTTCTACTCTATTACTCTGACAGAGGGAGGTGGATCTTTTCCTCACCTGTCAACCACTCAGCCAATGAAAGACTTAAAACTTGACCAATGAAAAGCCACTACACTTCAAACTCCCAGTTGCCTCCAATGGACTCTTTGTTTACAACAGCTCCTCTGAACTCCCCCTTTCCTCTATAAAAGAAGGTTCCTCTCCTTTGCTCTCTGGACTTGGCATGGTTTGGCATGAGACTGTATGTGCCCCATTGCAATTCTGTGTTGTTCCCAAATAAACCCGTTTTGCTAGAGAAATACCTGATTGTCCATTTCTTTAAAGTCGATAATAAATAATAGACTTGCCTTCTGTCCTGAAAAACATTGAATTGATTCAAAAGGAAAAGCTCTTACTGCTATCTTTTATAAGCAACCTCCCATGATTTTCAAATCATGTTATCTTGACCAACAAAAAAGTGATCTTTTTAACATAACATTTTTTTCATTACTTTCTAAATCTCTTAATCTCACTCAAGCTTCAGTTTCTAGTCAACAAAATGAACATCAGAAAAATACCTGCCCTCAGACAGTCCTTGTTCAGAATAGTCGGGGCCATAGGCAGGCCACCCCAAAATATCTCATAATGGCTTATTGATTATTTTTAATTAAAGTTACTTAAGAATCTGCCAATGCAAGAACAACACTCTGACCTCTTTCTGACCCTCTGAAAGCAAGAGATAAATCTCCCAAGTGAAAGGTGCCCTCCCTGTACCTGGAAGCTAACAAGAGATATCCTTATCACCAGAGTTAGGGAATTCAGGGCCATAAAGCATATATAACAAAATTCGTGACTCCTTTCGTAATTTAATACCCAAGCCCAAACTCTGCTTAGATTCCTCACTGATGAGCACCCAAACCTGTCAATTATTCACAAATTTATTATTTCTTATGTAAAAGATATAAAAGCTGCCTGCTTGCCCTAACTGGTTTGG